CAATGGCCCAAAAAAAAAAAACTCTCTAAAAAATAAAAAAAAAAAAAAAAAAAAAAAAAGAATTAACTACTTTACCATCTCACAGAGTCCCAGAAAATTCATCTGTGAATGTGGACCTAGATCTCCAAATCGTAGTTTTCAAATGTTGTAGATTTCCAGTGGGCATGCACTGGGTGTCCACAGATCTGACTTCTGGTCTTTTCATCAACTGCCTCTGTGAGGCTAGACAAGTCACTGACCCAGGTGCCTCAGCTTCTGTGTTTGTACAACAAAAGCATTAAACTAGATATTGCTAAGGTTTTTTTGTTTTTGTTTTGTTTTTGTTTTTGTTTTTGAAGAGGTTTTTGCTATAGGGTGCGTGCGCTCACCAAAAAGCCAGAGAGAGACAGAGAGACCGCAAGAGAGAAATCACTCCCCAGAGGGGTGGCCACACTGCAATCCCTTCGCCTCCATTCTCTTCTTGGGATCTTGGGCACACATGCACATGTGCCCAGAGTGAGTTTAAGCCACCGAGTCTGGGACTCAAACCATGGTTGACTACGTGAAAGTCCAGCAACATAGCCATTATGCCAACTGCTAGTCCCACTAAGGCATTTTCTAGGCATATAGCTCTAGCATTCAAAGTATTTGGTCATGTATTTAGCCTTTGCCAGGCAGGAGAAAGTGCTAAGATTATAAAGTTGAACAGACACATAACATCATTTCTAGAAAGTGTGTTTCAGAAATATCAACAAGGCCTTGTATATTGAAGGTTATATTCATGGGTGTAGAAGTCCTGACTATAAAGTTTGCTTTCCAGAAAGTCAATAAGTGAGGTTAGTAAAACATTTTAACATTCTGCAAGACAGTTTTTTATGTTGCCTCCAGGTCCCTAAGAACATAGCACCCGAGGAGGGGCTGGGGCCAGCAGAAACATCTACTGGTCCATTCTTCTGCCTCTGCCTAATTTAAGCCATTGCCTTTCCACCATCCTGACTTTCCATCCCTACACATATTTTCAAATGCAATTTTGACCTGGCTAATCCAAATTGACTTTCACCAATAAAAAGTTGAGTGAACCTAGCACAGTTTGGTGCTTATTTAATTTTTGACCTCTCCCAAGGACATGTATATATAAATTCTGCATACAAAAAGAGCAGTTTGCCTAAAAGAAAGGACTAGCTGGTGTGCAAAACGTTTACATCTTTTGCGAAACTATAGTTTATTATTAACGTGTAAGTTACTGTTACATATAACACCTGCATTTTTGATACATATGAAATTGCAACTGAAATTTATTTTGCCAGTATTCTCTAAATGAACTGAATAAAGTTTTTGTTAAAAAAAAAACTCTGCATATACATTGAGAAATCTTAGAGCACTTTTCTTTATAAAGTTAATGCAGATTAATTTTGTATTGTTTTTATTTATTTATTTTTAAAAGGTTTTAGCCACAGGGCACATGTATTCACCAGAGAGACAGAGACAGAAGCAGAGAGAGGGAAAGTGAGAACTAACCCTTCAAGGGCAATGGCCATGCCACAATCTCTTCTACTAGGATCTTGGGCACGCATGCACACATGTCCAGTGTAATTTTCAAGCTACTAGGTCCACGACTTGAACCAAGGCCGCCATGTGGGAGTTCAGTGATATAACCATAACGCCATCTCCTGGTCCCAGTTTAAGAAATTAAACTTCTTTCCTTTTGCTTTTTTTTGCTTTGTCAGAGAGTGTGTGCACTCACCAGAGAGAGAGAGAAAGGAGAGTGAGAAAGCACCCCCATGGTGAAATGGTCACACCACAATCCCTTCTCCATTTCTCCATCTTTTCAGGATTCTGGTCATGTGGGTACATGCGCCTGGTGTGTTTTTTGAGCCACCGTGTCCATGACTTAACCACACAGTCAGCCATGTGGGATCCAGCTGCCCTAACCACCACATCATCAGCTGGCACCCTTAGAAAACTTTCATATGACGTCTTCTACATAAAACTGTTACTGCGGGAAATAATGTCAATTCCCTACTTGTCAATTTTTTAGTCTGAAAATCTTGTGTTAGTTCTGTATGTATCTGAAATAGGGATAATGCATTTTATTCATGTGCTATCCAAGAATTCCTACAATTGGAATGTAGGTTTGTGTTCAGTTGTTTATGAAGAGTCGAGAGTAGTTGGTTACCATTTTACTCCAATAGTTCTTCACAAAGTTGAAGAACAGTAAAAATACACACTTTGTTCTTCAGACCATTTAATTCATATTTTTTGAGCATTTTTTCCTAACACTATAATTTTCTCTATTCTTTTTTAGTTCTGGTGAATTTGAACTACCTTTGATTGGTTGTGGGAATCTTTCTGAATAGAACTTGTTCATGTCAATGTACTATATTAAATTGCATTTAGGTATAAAGCACTCAGACATCACTTTCCAATATGGATTGCTATGAACTCAATAAAGTTTTGCAGAAAAGCTCAAACCCTACGACAACTGAAATTTGGACCTTTGTAAAGGTCACTTTTTGAAAATAAATAAATAGTTATGAGTTCTATACCAATAAATCTTGTTTTGAACGTATCAAAAAAATTTTTAAATTTATCTGCATATTATTTAAATAAAAGCTACCCTCTTTGATGCACCAGAGGGAGTATAAGTGTATTGTAAGGTTTAACTGTGTTCATGTTTGTAAGGCATTTAGCACAAGCCAGGCACAAGCTCTCTAAAAAGAACAGATGTCGGACCAGCAGGAGGCACAGCAGTTAAGGCACTTCCACATGGTCAACTACCATTTGTGTCCCAGACCTAATGGCTTGAAAAATCACACCTGGTGCATGTGCATATATACCCATGGTCCCAAGAAGAGAATCGGAGAAGGGGTTATGGCTTGACCATCCTCTCTGCATAGTGATTTCTTACTTTCCCTCTCACTGTCTCCCTCTCTGGTGAGCGCTCAAGCCCTATGGCAAAAAAACCTTTTAAAAAAAAAAAAAGCAGACATCATTTTATCATTTATTTCCTACTTGGCCTTTTCCAGTTATGTAACAGGCTTTTTCCATATTCTTAATTCAGGGTCCATTTTTTAAAATCGGTATTTTTTTGAATTAATAAGAAAGAATGCTTAGCTCAGATGAAGAATAAAATGAAATATTAAGCTGAGCTGGATATGAAGAGTAACTAATGTCCTAGCTGGGCCTGCATGATTTCAAGAAAACTTCCCTTAACTTTCTGAGCCTCACTTTCTTCAGCTGTAAATGAAGAAGATATATTGTATTATCTCTGATAAATCTTCACAGTCTAACTAAATTATTTACAACTTGATATTTTATTTCCCACAAATAAAAAAAAGTTATTTAATTTTTTTTTCTAGAGATCATAATTACTTTTCACTAAGCCATGGGCAGAATCAAACTATTGACTCTACTTTTCGTTTAATGAATTTCCCATACAAAATTGTGTATGTACACACACATACACACACATGTGTGGGTATTTATATATCTACACACACATGTAAACACATGTAGTTTAGATTAGTTTGTACAAGTAAACCTATTTTAATGTGCATTCACAATAAAATTTGAAAAAATAAATGATTTAATATTAAATTACTTATAATGTAAAGATCCATTATGATTTATGCCTTTATGCATTCCACAATGGATTTGAAATGTTTGTTAGAAAGTACATAGATACTTGATGATTTTTAAGTGAGAATAAGATAGGAATAACTAAGTACTGAATAAGAAGGTGAGTTATTAGAATACAGGGAGTAAAAATAACTATTATGAGGATATATGATGAGTTGTACCAAAATTCTTATGGTAAACAAACTTTTTCCAGGCTATAGTCCAGGGGTAAAAAAAGTGATTCTAATAGGTGGGATACTTTAAACAGCAGTTTGGGAGGAAAAATGCAGAAATTTTTTGCATCAGATATATCAGTCTTCAGCAAATGTAAGCAACATATTTTTATATTTTTATAAAGGATTCCATCGACAAACTATAGTGCTATTCTAAATACGTAGCTTTTAGATGCCATTACTGAAATAAGTGATTAAAATTTGACAGATACTGAATAGCAAACAGTGAGGTCTCTTGTAAATGCTTGAAATGCCAGCTATGTTTTCTTATTGATTGAAAGAGATTCATGTGGGGAGCAGCAGCTGGCCTAGTGAGTATGTTGCTGGACTCCCATGTAGTAGACTGTAGTTCGAGTCCCGGACCCGGTCACTTAAACTCACACCTGGTGCGTGTGCGTGCGTGCCCAAGATCCCGTGATTCTATGTTACCAGGATCATGATGAATTGAGAAGCAAAAGAAAATGGAGAAGGGATTGCGGCATGGCCATCCCCCCAGGGGGAGGGGTAATTTCTCCCTTTCTGTCTCTCCATTTCTCTCTTTCTCACGAGAACACGTGCCCTATAGCAAAAACCTCTCCAAAAATAAATAAATAAATAAATAAATAAAAGAGATTCATGTGAATTATATTATGGACCCATCCACAGGAAATTTCACATTTCATTATCAAAATTATCTAACACATGTTCTTGTCTTCATGAAGAGGAAACAATATCTTCAGGCAAATTCCAAAGAATGTCTTAAGAAAATAATTTGAGTCTGTTGGAATTTTTTAAAAATGTTTCGAGATGTCCAGTTTTTCCCAACATAAATCAAGTGAAAAAAATGCTATTAGATATTAAAATTATAAAATTATGATATCCTTATTAAATGATTAAATAGAGAAAATACTTAATTTTCCTCAACGGTATTGACTGATGTCTTTTCTTAAGAAATTTGATGTTTAAGTAACAACAAAGGAGTCATCAAAATAAACACATGATTTAAACAAACCATGAAAACAGAAGGTTTCAAAACGTGCAAAAATACAATGTTTCTTGATATAAACATTTTCAAGAATTTAATAATAGTCATTAAGTCATCTAACTACAATGAGGTGTTTCTTATCAGGATTAGGAGCTGAAAGGAATATGCTTTTTATCTAGCAAAGTCTTTCTATGTAATCATTTTTTCCCTTTTATATTTGCTCTTGGGTCTTCTGTTGCAATTTTCTCACGTCAAATAAAATATAATCTTCATAATTGCAATAAAGGAGAAAAGATAATTCTGTAGAAGAAAATTACTCAAGGCAGAAGGACTAAAATTACCAGTCTTAATTAGTTTTGCATTTCTATTGGATGAACGAATTGCTGTTTGAGAGCTGAGGGTATCTACTCAGTTCCTTGGGGAACAGTAATGTGTTTAAGGGAGGACAGGGAAGAAACAAAATAAAATATTTGTTTTCAGCTTGAATTGCTATAAAGAAGAGTAATAATCAACATTTGCTGCTAATGGTCAAGAAATTACATAAAATTATAACTGCATGTGCAACTCACTTGAAAAAACTGTGCAGGGATACTCTTAGACCTGGACACGCCATGGAGGTCTGTTGCTTCAAATCGCACAAACTGGAGGTGATTTTTGGCCATCTCTTGTTTAATGTGTTTCATTCTAGAAGAGAGTTGAGGTGGGGTCAGAATTTGACTGTTGTCCCTGGTGTGATCTGTAAAATAAAGGATGATACTATGTTACCAGGATCATGATGAACTGAGAAGCAAAAGGAAATTACAGAGGAGTGGATTCGTTAGTATGATTTTTGGTGAAAGCATCATCTAGATATCAGGTCATTGGCTTTCAGTTGGAGATCTTACCTTTCTTACCTGCCTTTCTCATCTTCTCGAGAATTTTGTGTGTCAACAGAGCTGGTTTATCAGTCAGGAGTAGGTTAAAGTTAATAATTTTTGCTAAGTACGTAACAATATATGTAGGTGCTTTCTGAAAAATCTCTTTGCTTGTGGAAATTAAAACCAGTTTGGGGGTGAACAGGTGTCATGGTGGTTAAGGTGCTGGACTTGCACATAGTTGACTGCTATTTGAGTCCCAGACCTGGGGGCTTGTTTTCTCTCTCTTTCTATCTCTCTCAGACTTGCCCTATAGCAAACTAAATAAAATTATTTGCTGCTGATGATGCAAAGTAATGTCTTTGTCTTAACTGAAGTATATAGTAATCATGCTGGGTAAAGAAATGTTATAAACTGTAAAGAAATATGTGATTAAATGTGATATAAACAATTTTTTTAAAAAAAGATGCCATAGTAGAACACATTCAGTGTTGGCACCATAAAAGTCTACACACACACACACACACACACACACACAACTATTATTGAAAACATTTGGGGCTTATTGAATTAACAGGTAATATCTAAATTAAAAGTTATTTTATGATTGAAGGTTAAATTCGTTTTGTTTATTTTCTGCTGTTTTGTTTTGTTTTTTTGTTGTTTTGGAATTTTTGATATATCTTATAATGACATCTAAATCTAACAGGTCTACATTTCTCTGTCAAAATTGTTAAAACTATTTGAAATCACTAAACCAGTATTTTTTTTTAATGAGAATGTAAGAGATGAAAAAGGAGCTATAAATACATACTCAACTTCTAAATTGGAAACATAATATGAATGTTCGTTTCAAGACTTTTAAGATAGTCTACAAATTGTCAAACTTTTAGAGCCAGAAGGGACTTTGAAAGTAAATCATTGGCTCTTGGGACCAGCAGTTAGCGTAATGGCTATGTCGCTGAACTCCCCATGTAGTCGACCATGGTTTGAGTCCTGGACCCAGTGGCTTAAACTCATGTTGGGAGCATGTGCGTGCATGCCCAAGATCCCGAGAGGAGAATGGAGGAGAAAGGATTGTGGCATGGCCATTCCCCCTGGAAGTTGATTTCTCACTTTCTCTCTGTCTCTATCTTTCTGAAGAGCACACGCACCCATACAGCAAAAACCTCTCCAAAATTTAAAAAAAAAAAAAAATTTTAAAAAGATAAATCATTGGCTCTAACCAATTCATTAGCTTGAGTCCCAGGGAGGTACAATGAGATGCCCCCAGTCACACCATCAGTTCATTGCCAAAGCTGAAACTAGAACCCAGACTTTCTGGTTCCTGGTGAGTGGCTCATTAATTACCATGAAATAAATGAATCTGTCTACAGTACATAGAAGGGTCAGGAACACAGCACCCATTATGAATGTTAGTTACTGTCAGAACTTTTAGCAGAGACAGCAGAGTATAGTGGTTCAGCACAAGACATGAATCTCATCTGCCTCCTTCCAAATCCTGCCTTTGCCCCAGCAACTCTGTTATCCTCTCTGTGCCTCTGCTTTCTCATTGATACAGTATTACCTACTTCACAGGCTTGTTATGAGAATTAAACAAGTTATTTAACAGTTACTGGCAGGCAGTAAGCACCATATAAATGCTACTTAAACACCTAACGTGAGAGCAATTACTCTAACCCTAGAAAATGGCACCATGCCTGTGATGTATCCAAACACCGTCAATCTAGCTGACATTGAGCAGCTGTACTTTTAAAGAGAAACCTGAGTATCCTTTTTCAACATATAATTAGGCTTTAAAAGTAAGCGTAAAGATCAACAGTATAAAAATGTAGATTAAGTAGATTTTAAGTACATGAAGCATGAGGAAAACAAATTACTGGTTCCACCTATGCAAATGTATTAGAGATAATGTCCTGTCACTGGTACATTTGGCCACTCTGAGACTCCTGGGGCTTTGTAACACCTTCCATTTAGCACAAACAATTAAACTGTAGCAGTTACCATGCTTCATGCGAAATTAGCAGTTGCTGAGTTCCCAATCTTTTCTGAACTATTGGGTGTTCCTTTCGAGTTAAATAATGCTCTTTAAAATAAAATTTACAGACATTTCAAAATTTGGAAATTTTCAGATAATGAGTATTCAAAACATAATTAGCAAATTTATATAAGCTATAATAAAGGCATTGCCTATTTTTTAAAAAAAAGTCAGTTTTTGGTTGGCCAATAATAGGATGACAGGTAATCTTACTAGTTCTTTGCCTTATTTGTATCTTCTGTATTTTCTTTAATAACATGTATTGTTTTAAAATAGAGTCATATTCATCCACTTGAGATAGATTTTTCTTTGTTATTAGTATATATTATTCTCACTGGATGCATACCTAGAAAACAGCCAGATAAAGCCCTGCCCTTGTAGAACTTTATATTCTTGAGTAGGGGAATTATGAACAGTAAATATGCTATTAAATGCAAAGGTGGGAAAGTTTCACATCATCAAAGCGCTAAAAACAATAATAAAACATAATCACCTGGAATATTAATTCTATAAGGCTTGACCACAATGTGGACAGGTCCACCCTTTATTCACTTTAATGCCTCCAAGTTGCACTGTGTCTAAACAGTGAGTAAGTGTATTAGTTGGCTATCATAACAACAAATACCCCACCAGGTGGCTTGAATTTTGAAGAGACACAATGCAGCCTGTAACAGGGTTCTGTCCTATTTCCATTTCTTCAGCATTCTTGCTGCTGTCTGCCATATTGTTCAGTCACGTTTACCGTCTGTTGTTCCTGCTTACCTTCCAACTCTGTGCGAACAGGAGCTTAGTTTTACTTCCTGCTATATCCCTAGTACCTGGAGTCAAACAGGCATATCGTATGTATTCAATAACTATTTCTTGAATAAGTGAATGTGTGAGTGAATGAATGAACACATCTTGTTTGATTTGATGTGTCTAATTAATATGTAAAAATTGGCATGACATATTTTACTATGTATTCTAAGTATCAGTTTTTTTTATTTAAAAGTTCAATTCTTTCAACAAATATGAGGGAGAACTGTATCCAACCTAATTTCATTTTCAAGTCGTCAACTAAACTTGCCGCATCATTGTCTGAATTTCTTTTCTTCAAATAAATCATACTTGTTACTTACAATTAAAGATTTTGGTCAGTCTTTCCCAACTGCACATGATGAATAGCAGGCAGATAATTGCCAGTTCAGGGCCTCATTTGTTTTTCTTACAGTGTGGTTCCTAGGAGGTGTTCTCCTTTTCTATCCTCTCAAAGGACTAATAAATTAAATCGATGTGCTTTTATACAGGAAGTTTTACTGCTGTGAATGTTTACAGGGAAAAATGAGAAAACATTAGGGAAGAGAAAAAAAGAAAACCTCTAAGCTCTACAGCAACTAGAAGTCCCTGGAGAAATGTTGTCTGTGTTCAGTGACAATAAGGACATATTTCAGTTGCAGAGAACAATTCCTGCATAAAGAGCTCAGGACACCAGTTTCCCTCCCCTTCCCTCCCTTTTTTTTTGGAGAAGTTTTTGCCATAGGGCACATGTGCTCGCCAGAAAGACAAAGAGAGACAGAGAGACAGAGAGTGAGAAATCAACCCCCGGGGCGGGGGGGGGGGGGGGGATGGCCACGCTGCAATCCTCTGTGTTCAGTGACAATAAGGACATATTTCAGTTGCAGAGAACAATTCCTGCATAAAGAGCTCAGGACACCAGTTTCCCTCCCCTTCCCTCCCTTTTTTTTTGGAGAAGTTTTTGCCATAGGGCACATGTGCTCGCCAGAAAGACAAAGAGAGACAGAGAGACAGAGAGTGAGAAATCAACCCCCGGGGCGGGGGGTGGGGGGGAGATGGCCACGCTGCAATCCCTTCTCCATTCTCCTCTTGGGATCTTGGGCATGCACACACACACGCCCGGTGTGAGTTTAAGTCGGGTACAGGACTCGAACCACAGTCGACTACATGGGAGTCCAGTGACAAAGCCATTATGCTAACTGCTGGTCCCCCCCTGTTTTTGACATAAGACTAAGAAGTGGCAAATTACATCCTTTTTTGTGTGTGGCAGAAACAAGAATATATAAAACAAGATTCACAAACTGTGAAGGGTCCAATGTGTCCAGCAACTGTTTTCTGATTAGTCTTCTCAGTGTTTACAAGATTTTTTTGAACTAGGTGGCGGAATTTAACTTATTAGAAAATTATACATGAATTTTTGGCATCTCTTGAAGCTAGATCTAGCCACAATGGTGGATATTTCTCCACAGCATCTATTGGCTGGAAGACTGAGGTTGCCCAGACAGGGAGTGTATCTTTTAGTTTACGGGGTGGAAAATGTTTCCTATAAAGGGCTAAATAGTAAACTCTGCAACATTGCAGGTAATGTGATATTTATTACAACCACTTAGCTGTACCATTTTAGAGGGAAAAAAGGGGCAGCTATGTGCAGTTCATAAACTTTATAAACAACAACTGTCCAGCAAGTCAAACAGCCTTTGGGCCAAAGTTTGCTGCCTCTTCTTTAGCTTGTTACGATCAGCACTCCTGCCTATTGCCTGACACCAGCCTGCCACTGGCACTACGTCCCTAGCCCTGAGAACATTTACATAGACAGTTCCTGATATTTTCAGACTGCCAGTGCTTAATTTTTTCACTTTGCAGGGAAATTCATGAAGCCAAAACAGATTCATTCAGAGATGAGAGATGGTGTGATAGGCAGAATGGCTCCTCCAAGCTGTCTACCATACCCGAAGCCCTGGCACCTGCAAATAAGTTAACTTGTATGGTAAATGGGACTTGGCAAACGTAATTAAGGTATGGGCCTCCAAAAAGGGAGTGTATCTTGGATTGTTCGAATGAGCCCTTAAAAGAAGAAAACGTTCTCCAGTGGAAGGTAGAAAAGGGATGTGAAAGAAGAATTAAGAGAGATTCCAGCCATGAAAAAGCAGTTGAGGCATTACTCTGAAATAAGGAACAAAAAAGAGACTGCTGGGAGATAAGGCCACCTCAGTGGAAACAGGAATCCCAGTCCTAAAATCATGAGGAACTAGATTCTCCCAACAATTTGAGTGAACTTGGAAGCATATTGTTCCCTAGGAGTCTCTGGGGAAAACCCAGATGCCATCACTTTTATTTAGACCTTGCGAAACTTGAAGCAGAGCAGCCAGCCAGCTGACCCAATCTAGACTTCTAACAAACAGAACTGAGATAATACCTTTGTGAGTTTTTTAAAGATGCTAAGTTTATTATGGTGGCAATAGAAGATGAATAAAATGGAGTCTGGAAGTCAGCAGGTAGTATGGTGGTTAAGGCACTGGACTTCCCACATGGCTGACTGTGGTTTGAACCCTGGACCTGGTGGCTTGCTTTCTCACTACACCCCCCCTCCTTCTGGTGAGTGCATGTGAAAAAAAAAAAAAACTTAAAATAATAAATGATAAATAAATATGGAGTCTGGGTAGTGTTCATTTCCAGCTTCTCCTTAGACCTTATATGTAATAAAACATTTAACTTTGCATAAGGAGAGATCTGGCCCTTTGTTCTTGGTCTCTCAGAAGTAATTTCTAAATCCTCAGTCTATTCTACCTAACAAGAATGTCTTTGTCTACTTGGGAACTATGGGCCATGTAGGAAAGTCTAAGTGTCATTTACGGTAGGGACTTGAAGTCATGTAATATCAACTCGATCCCTAGAGAGACTAAAAACTGACATTAACTATACAGCCAGTTAACCTTGGAGCCCCAGTTAAGCGTCTGGACATCAAGACACGGATGGGCTTCCCTGGGTGGCAATACTCCATGCCCATTATCACGTGTCTTTGCCAAGAGAACAGGACTTTCCATGACTCTGTTGAGAAAGGACAAGTGGCTACTCCGTGCTTAGAATTTTCCTGGATTTCACCCCATAACTGATTTTAATCTGTATCTTTTCACTGTAGTTAGTATAACAACTTTCAGTGAATTCTGTGAGTCCTTCCAGCAAATTATAAAAGCTAAGGTTAGTCTTGGAAAACTCTAACACCTGCCATTGGTGTCAGAAGTTGAGGTACCATGGTGAACACTCTCCCTCTAACTTCACATTTGCTATAGTCCCACCTTTCCAAGGCTTGTTTGCTCAACTTTTTCACTATAGCTTCACTTTTTTTAACTAGATTTAACTCATGTACTAAAATAATTATGCCACTACCTGTAAGCTAGCAACTCAGAATAACAGAATTCCACTTTTTGAAGAAATGAGAGATCTTCCATTGCAACTTCCAGATGAGCAGCCTAGAGGGTAAAGAAAACTGCAAAGTACTTAATCAATATGTGGATAAATTCTCTTAAGTGTTCTGACTCCCAGACTAGCACTCCTCAACCAATAATATATTATCTCTAATTAAATACAAACATGGGGTCAGTCACTTAAGCTATAAACCAGTTTATGCTACAATCCTTACCAATAAATCCTAACCAGAGTTTGGGTTAAATTCACAACTGGGAGCATTGGCTGATACCTTGGGGACAATGGCTTTGTCACTACTGTCAGGTTCTGGGGGTCTTTGTCATCATATGACAGGTGAGACTCAGCAGAGCTAGGTTCACAACTGGTTTAACTGAACCCCCCAGTTTAAGGCGCACTATTTAGTTTCTGATCCTCTCTGTGGTCATAAGGAAAAATGTCAAAATATATTGCTTTCAATGATCTTTTAGTAGTATATGGAGAGGAATACGTGAGAAAATAGTGTACCCCCAGGCAGAGACATATCAAATAAGGGGCAGTGGGACTGGTCCACACTAAGTCATAAGGAAGTTCATTGTCTATAGGAAATTTAAAAAACAATAGTAAAAACTACAAAAAGCAGCTGCTTTTTACTATAATCATATGCTGGTAATTCCTACTGCCACTACCTTAGAAGATCACTGTTGCTAGAATTGCTTCTGTTGCCCAGATTAACTCTAGTGTCAGCATGGTGTCAGATCTATTGGAGTCTGGTTGGAATTCTAACATGTGGTTTGAAAACATGTTCCACACCTTTTCTGTGGCCTCTCAAATCCTCACAATGATCTTTATATTATTCTCAGAGCAAAGATGGGCTTCTTGACCCAGCATGGTGGCATAGTCCAATAGTGCACTAGACTGTAGAGCTAGAAGCTGAGTAGTTGACCACAGTGGACATCCTTGAGCAAGTCAACCTGAAATGTGCCAGCCATGCTCGCCAAAGGCCCTGACAGGCTGGAGGAAGGGGATCATGGCATGACAAGACCATCTTCTTTTCTCTCTGTCTCTCTCCATGATAGACATGCATGCTATCATACATTTAAATATTTTAAGTACTTCTTGTCCTGTTCTACGTTTCTTTATTTCATTCTCTCCTTTTTCTATTACTATCACCCTAGCTCAAACCCTTCTGAAATTCAGAATATTTTTACTAGTTATTTCTAAATATTTACATCATAAGCTTTTATTTGCCATTTTTATGATTCCTAGATAAGAATAAATTTCATTTCTTTGTTCTTTGGCTTCTTGTAGGCAACAAAAGAAAAATTTGTATGAAAAGGGAGACCAGCTAGAGTGTCCCTGACCACACCATTTCTGAGGAATCACAGTTAGATACCGTTTGAATTGGACAGATCCATTTCTCCCACTTCAGTTGAAATATGTGGTTTGGTGACTTTCTTTCTTGTCCGTCTTAATTTATTTATCTTGCTGGCCTCCGTCTCATTATCTTCATCTCTTGTTGTGTCCTGTAATAATTAACAAAGCAAAAGCCAAATAACACACCATACAAGCAATTAAATTTAGATGTTAAAAGGTCTGGCAATCAGATGGCTAGGTTTTAAAATGGGCAGAGGAGACTTTTATAATGAGGTCAGTTTTGTCACCTCTACATCCACTTGAGTCACACAAAATGAAGAAGCCCAATTGTGCTGACAGGCTGCTTTTTCTGTATCTTCTTTTATATGTGGAATAAAAAAATGCCCTTAAATAGAATAAGCTCTTGCCTAACTCCTCAACATTTCTATCTCTATTTTTTACTTCAAGATATTTCATATTATTTATTCTTAAATAATTTTATAAACCCATTTCAGCTATGAAGTTCACTTTTATGATTGCTATGTTTTTAAGATCTCTAAGTTTTTTGACCAAAGGCATAAGTATCTCAAGAATTGAATTTTCATCTCTTTTCTTTTGCCTTCATCCCTAATGCATCAATATTTACTTTGCTTTGGAAAAGCATTGTATTTATGAAGTGCTATTTTGTGACTGCTTTTATATTTGTGAAGCAAATGTCCACTCAAACTGTTTTACAGCTTAGGAAAACTCTAAAGAAATACACTGAAAGCAAAATAACCTAACTTTTACAATCCAGTTATTATCCTTGACAGAATACTCCCAGCAGGGAGTGGGGCAGTGAGGCAGGTGCTGGCACTGAGGCTCAGGCATCTAAGCACCAACTGTGGACAGAATCACCCTGCAGTCCCGGGACACAAAAGCTATCACCAAGAAAATATAGCACATGTTTAAAAACTGACACTAGTATTTTTAGAATTTCACAAGCTTCTCATGGTGGTTTGAAGAGAGAGGGAAGTGACAGGGTGAGGGTCAAAAATTATATTCTAAGTGTTTTGAGCTATTGTCTTTTTCGAGGGGCAGGTTCTGAGAGGTTATGTATCTGTGGACAAGTTATATAAATATATGTCCAGAGTGGTTGCTGGCAAAAAGTTGTACCAATTTATCCATAAAACCAGTTTGGCCTCCAAAGGCTAAATAAAAGAAGGGGAACAAAAGGATTTTCAATATTTCGTGTTGGTATATGATTCATTATAATTATTATTACTATACAAGGGTACTTCAAAAAGTCCATGGATGCTGGCTTCATGGTGCTGAGGCAGAGCACTGCTGTAGAGAAGCCAGATCCCACATGGCAGCTGTAATTCAAATTCCTGACTGTGTTTGCCTGAAACATGCTAGACATGCGTGTGAGCGAGCGAACAGGCTAGGGCACTGAAGGAAAGGAATTGCCGCGTGGCCACACCTTGTGAAGGGTGCTTTTTTCCTCTCGTTGCCATGTGTGTGCATGTGCTTTCCCACAAATTAAAAAAAAAACATTAATGTTCGTAGAAAAGTGGAAGTAGAGTAAAAGCTTATTTTGGTGCAAAAATTTTTCAATATTCATGCGTAGTTTTTTCATAATGCACATTTTCCATGAACTTTGGGGGGGGCTCTCATATTAACAAAGATAGATTTCATAAAACAAAGTTTTTTCTAAAATTTTAAAGTTTTGCTTATTAGAAAATGTGTTCTTAGCCAGTTTGTAGTGCAGTGGGACCCAGATGCCACATGGCTAAGTGTGGGTCTAATTCCACCCTGGGGGCTTGAAAAATATGCCAGGCACATGTGTGTGCATGCCCAAAATCCCTACAGGAAGGAGAGGTGAAGGAAAGGTGATTACAGCATGAGCACACCTCATTGAGTGGTGCTTCCTCTCTCTCTCTCTCTCTTTTTCCTCGTTCACGCTTCTGTATCCCAGGGCAATTTAAAAATAAAGAAGAAGAAAATGTGATCCCTTTCACTCCAGATTATCTTATATTATTTGCATCATACAGTACTTATGTGATAGAGTAGAGTTCTGGACCTGGTGATTTGAAAATCACACTGGGCATGTGTGACTACATGCCCAAGATCCCAGAAGGAGAACAGAAGAGAAGGGAGTGTGGCACAGTTATTCCCCCAGAGGGATATTTCTCACTTTCTCTCTCATTATCTGTTTCTCTCCAGTGAGCACACATGACCTAAGGCAAAAACCTCTTTTTTAAAAAACTGAAATGATTTTATTCAAATATTTGCATTAATTTTTTAATATACTTCTTTTTTTAAAGAATTATTTATTTATTATTGTTATTATTATTTTTCACATGAATTTTGCCAAAAACAGAGAGAGAGAGGGGGAGAGTGAAAAAGAAAGCTACCAGGTCCGGGACTCGAACCATGGTCAGCCACGTGGGAATTCCAGCATCTTAACCACCACTCCACCTGCTGGCCCCAATTTTTTAATACACTTCTAAAAGAATCTGACAATGATATAAAGTCTTATTGTACATATTCACCATTTTTTTCTTTTTAAAAACTTTATTTATTTATTTATTTATTTATCATTTTGTGAGAGAGGAAAGCACTTCCAACAGGGTCTTCACACCGTGATCCACCCCCTACCTCAGCCAGCCAGGATCACAGGCATGTATGCATACCCTTCATGTTCAGGGAAACCTCAAGACACAGCCCCGACACCACCTGATACCTTCCCATGTGCCCTCAGAATTGTGGAGCATTGCATTGTTGCAGAAAACCAGATGCCAAGGAATGGAAAACAGCACTCCGAAATATTAGGAGAACTGTTTATTATGCCAGCAGGTGCGGAGGAGTTAACAGTCAAAATCTCTGGCCCTGACTGGGGGTTGGACATGGTCTTTTATGGGAGAATTGGGGAACAGGAGGTCTGGGGTGGGGACTGGGCTCAGATCCTGCCCTCCACAACATCAAAGGGAGGAGTCAGAGAAGCAGGAAATCTAATCTACTCAAGGCACCAATCCACTCAACATACTAATCCATTCAATGTACTAATCCATTCAAGGTACTAACTCGCCCTCAGTGTTTAGGTTACCCTGTAGTTCCAGGGAGGGGCAGAAAATTCACCAGAGGACAGAAACCTTAGCCAGCTATCAGCCCTGAGTTATTAGTCATAGGAATTTAACAGTTTATAATGGAGACGCTCCTCCAAGATGGAGTCTCACCTGCTTCAGCATCACCCTGCCCCATGACAGCTGGCCCATAGTCATTATATTTAAAACTACATTGCCAGAAATGCACAATATATCACTTTATTTTTGCCAGATGTTTTATATATGTTGAGAAAATCTGATGGCTGTGTCTCCTCATCACAGCAAAGAATTGAAGGGCAAGGAGACAAGGGGACCACAAGGCTTGAGGGAGGTGGAGACACATTCCACAGAGAGAATGGACCAGTGTCAAGGTAGGCAGAGGGAGAGAGAGAGAGACACAGGTCCCTCAAGCAGAGCAGGCCATTCCTAAGGCATTTCCCTTTTATTCTGTTTTAGATCCTTTGTTTACTCTAAAATATGTGCTCTTAGGCCTCTTTGATTTGTTAATTCTGTTTCTCTAGGTCTCCTGCTGCAGGGAGTTATTTTGAGTCACAATACAGCTGGTCATATAGTTCTCCCTTCAAGTTTCTTTGTGCTCCCAGCTAGTTCCCTGATCTGTATCTGCCTGACCAAGGGTATCATCCCTAGCAACTCCTGATGAATACACATTCCTCTGGTGTTTTAAAGAAGTCTTGTTCAAAATATGAGATACTTGGCTAAGTGTATAAATAACAAAGGAATTTGAGCAGACTAACAGCGTCTTAGTTTGACCCCTTTGGGGATACCTTCTTCCTTAGTTTTGAGAAATCTGATACCATTCAGTTTCAAATTCTAGCCTGCAACTCAAAAATGACATGCTAAAATTAAGCACTTTGTCAGGCTTTTTCTTCAGCATACTCCTTGAGGTAATCTCCACTTTACAAATGAGAAAAATAGAGACCCAGAGTTAGTGCCCAAAGCCATGAAAGTGAGTGACAGATGTATTTTCAAATAGGTTTTCTGATTTTCAAAACACCATTCTGCTTGCTAAAAGTCACAGATCCACTCCCTTAGAAAGTTTGTTTCAAAACATTCACCTGCTCACATATATTGTAAATCAGGTCGAAAGTAAAAGTTTCTTATGAAAACAAAGAAAATTTACTTAATTACCAACTTGTGAATTTCACCAATAAGACCCCCAAACTAAGTTAAAGTACATGCCTCTTAATCCACAGAAACACTCACAATTTTTTTTCTTTCAAGATGAACAATATATTTCTTCCAGTCCTTTGATTTTCTACGTTATCAAAATACAGGCATAGCTATAATACCTAAAACGAATTCACTGGATTCCTGCTTTATCCCTCCTCCAACAGATTATTTTTATTCTCCTTGACCTTTCAGTTGCCCTTGGGTATAGCATATGTGATGTTCGGTGAGAAGCCTACTAACCAATATTCATGAGGTTTGGTTTCTAATTCTGATTTTTCCACTGTTGGAATTCGGAAAACAACATTGGCATCTGTAAGTGAAGCCTCAGAATCAAAGTTTCTCTCTGACATTCTCCTGCCCTCCTGTCTCTCATCCACTTCCCCCAACATACCTCAAGGCATGCCACTAAAACCAGATCCCTTTTCCCCAAAGTTAACCATAAAGCCTAAAAATATCACTCTAACTTTCTCTTCTTTTCCTTGGAAAGCTGGTGATAAAGAAATTATCTGACCTATCTTGTTTCCTTGTGTGTCATGAGACCCCCATTTGAGAAGGTCCTGTCTCTCCCTAGAAGGAAGAAAGGCTGGGAGAGACCAAGAATCTGAGTAGACAGACTGCTGAGTTGCCCCACTCAGTCTCTCAACATCAGATCATTCCCTTTTTGTCCAGTCATGTTTTTATACTGATGTTCTTACTTCTTCAAACCTAAGCATAAAAATGAATAGTTCAAGACCTAAAAACCTAGACAAAATCCATCTATATCTAAGCTGTGCCCTGCCTTTTCTGGGGACTAAAGTAATTGAAGACTCTACTCCAAACATCTCCTTCCAGACCCCAAAACTAGACAGGGTCATAGAAATGCTCACTGAACCCACTGCACAAACGGAGTTCATAAATTTGAACTCAAATTTTTCTCTGTGGATACCGTGTTACAAAACACAGTAGAGGAGAGAAAAATAGCACAGAAGTACCTCACAGCTAAGGGAAGTAAACCAGCTTACAGTTGCTGAAATCTTCCCCAACAAGTTAGCCAAAAGTGAATACATCACCAAATCACTAAAAATTAGAGAAGAGAGACTGTAAAATGAGCAGCAGGAAGTAATTCAGAGCTGCAGAGAGTGTGGCTCATCTTCCACACACCTCTGAACTATCAGTTAAAATTTTGCATTGTCAGCCCAGGTGCACCTATTCTCTAGAAACTGAGAGGCCTTTGTAATATCTAGTTCCAATGACAAAAGTGCAGGTTGCTTGATGAGCGTCAAGGAAATGAAACTGCAGAGAGATTGCAGGTCATCTCCCACATGCCTCTAAACACTCAGAATTAACTCCAAGAATTAGGAAGAAGCATAATACATCAGATGAGCAAAAACCACTGCAGAGGTCTAAGAAATATGAAAAACAAAATGAAACAAAACTAAAACAAGAATACATCTCTCCCTCAAGGGAGAACAACCCTTCATCCTTCACAGACAGTACAATGGAACTAATGGAAATGCCAGATAAAAAAATTCATTCTATTCATACTGACAACACTAATCAAGATTCTAGAGAAGAGAGACAACAAACTCTAGAAGATGCAAGAGAAAAGAGACAATGAATTCTAGGAAATGAGGAAGTTATTCCATGATTTGAAAGAAGAGATATACATTATAAAAAAGAATCAAATGGAGTTGTTAGAGATGAAGTCTGTAATACAGGAAATCAAAACCTCCCTTAAAAGTATTAAAAGCAGTCTAGACCATGCAGAAGATTGAATCTCAAATGTAGAAGACAAAATCTCTGACGTAGAAAAAATCACCAAAAAGACTTAGAAAACAACCCAAAGACAAGAGAATAATAAATGAGAAATACTAGATACTATCAAATGCCCAAACATCTGGATAATTGGTATCCCAGAAGGTGAAGAAACTAATAAAGGCATAGATTATATATACAATGAAATTCTAGACAAAAACTTTCCAAACCTAGAGAGGCATTCAGATAACCAGATCTAAGAAATGCAAAAGACTTCAAATATAATCAATCCAAGTCATCTTCTCCAAGTTACATCATTGCCAGATTGACCAAAAATACAAAGACAAGATGGTAAAAACGGCTAGGGAGAAACTTCAAGTTACTTACAATGTAATCTCATCAGGCTAACATCGGACCACTCATTGAAAACAATGTAAGCAAGAAAAGAATGGGAAAATACATACAAAGCATTAAATGAAAGAACAATTTCAACCAAGAATACTGTACCCAGTAAGATTATCCTTCATATGGGAAGAAAAAATGAAAAACATTCTCAGATAAACAAAACCTGAAAGATTTTATCAATACCAGGCTAACTCTTCAAGAAGTTTTGAAGGGAGTTCTGTACCAGGAAAACTAAAGAGAGACAGACAGAAATAAGATTAAAAAAAAAAAAATCAAGAAAATGGCCACTTAATGGTAGAGACAAGTCTGAAAATATCAATAATAATGTTGAATGTTAACTTCCAGGATTTAAATGGAACTATCAGACCAAAGTAGCACTGCAAATTCAGCATAATAGAGATTAATTACATGAGCTTGAATGGGTGAAATAGAATTTTGTGACTTTTGACTAAAACATTACTGATTTTCTTCTATGCTTTGTCTTCCATATTTAAGGATTTTGTTTTCTGTTGAACTGTTGGTAGATTTAGCAATGTGTTTAAAAAAAAAAAAAAAAACTTGTTAAAAAAAATTGAACCATACATTTTTCTCCCTTCCTGAACCCTCTGGAATTGGAAAGTATTTGTGAGCATTCTTATTTTGTGGCAGAATGGTTATTTGCATAAGGTCAATAATATCTGTTGCCTTGCATCAGAAATTGGAAATACTGGTTATTTCCATGGCTTTGACTAGAATGTCGTATCTAAAGATATAACCAGAAAGCTAAGGACCTAAGGCAGATCTCAAGAAAGCCAACAGAATCTCTTGGAAAGATTCTCTGGTACCATAAACAGTTCTGCCTGGCAGGTAAGTAAAGAATGTCACTTCCTGACAGATCCCCAAAACTTTCAAGTACAAGTACTTAAAGACACAGTCAGACAGTGAATTCCTGACTTGGCTTGGTAGCCTTGGGAGAATTTTTAAAGACTCTAATCTGAAGTTTCTTATAGAAAGTTCCAGCAAAGCCAACTAAGTCAATTAGTATTCTTATGGGGCTTTGTGCAAATAACAGACCAAATTGAGTCTAAACTTCTTCTTTTCTTTTTTCAAGTAAGTTAGTTTATGCCTCTCTATAGTAAAAAGGGGAATACAGAGAGAAAAAAAATTACAGTGAACTTGTTACTATATTTTAGCTTTGTCCATATCTGTTTTTTGAGTTTTTAGTATCTACCTACTATTTGAACAGAATCCTAATCTTTTTCCTGGCTTTAAGTCTTAAGCAAAATTTTCTTAACATTTTTTGATTTTGGTTTATTAAAGATAAAACTGCTTTTCTTGAATTAAAAATATATATAGAAAACAAACAAACAAATAAATCAATAAAAAACATACCAACTTAATGACGACAGTAGGCTATATAGCCTCAGCTAGGTGCTACTTTATAGATGTTCATTCTTCTCACTGAGTTTTATGCCTAAAGTGAGACATGTGTTCATAGATATGTTTATATGGATGCGTTTACTATTGAAACTATTCAGTTTAATTAAAATATTTTGTGAATCAATAAAATGTGGGGAAAAAATTAAAAAACATGGTAAGTAATTGTAGATACCAGAGACACTGTGAGAGGAGGGTAGGAAATGGCAGAGGGTGAGAGGGAGGGAATCAAGGGGGAGGGGGTAAAAAAAGAAGTAAAATACATAAAAAACAAAATTTGAAAATGATTATTTAAAGATAACACAGATGGTACTATCTTAGAGCCAATAAACAGTAAATTCTGGATGGGAAAACTCATTTTGTATGCTGCAATGATATACAGTGAATGGATATAAAATAAATTTAAAATTA